AGTTAACATTGTTGTGTAGTTAGCTTGGTTGTGTAGTTAACATTGTTGTGTAGTTAGCTTGGTTGTGTAGTTAGCTTGGTTGTGTAGTTAACATTGTTGTGTAGTTAACATTGTTGTGTAGTTAGCTTGGTTGTGTAGTTAACATTGTTGTGTGGTTAGCTTGGTTGTGTAGTTAACATTGTTGTGTAGTTAACATTGTTGTGTAGTTAACATTGTTGTGTGGTTAGCTTGGTTGTGTAGTTAACATTGTTGTGTGGTTAGCTTGGTTGGGCTCGGTTCTGTTTGGTTACGGCTCGTTTCTTTCTGAATATCAGAGTTCCTATGCTCTTGAATGCACCCTGGCTGTTCCGATGCTAGTGAACGCACCACTCTGTGTAAACAAAGTGCAGAGCTGCGTGTGTCGGTCCGAGTTTGTTTCTCAACACGGACAGAGCCTTGAGCTTCTGTTTGCGCTTTAATTCTGAGTGTAAATATTACTTAGATAGAGAACTTTACTAATTGGCTTTTATGTGAATGTTCCTGTAAAGTCCCTGAGACAACTTTGTTGTGATTTGGTGCTTTATAAATAAACTGAATTGAATTGAATTAAAATACCAGAAGAAACACAGCAAATAAATCACTCTAAACTGAATATTTGTCTCAGTGTTTTTAATGAGAAGACAACTTCATACCTTGCCACTCCAGTTCATTTCCTGGAGAACACCAAACCTCTGCTTTTTAGCACGGTCATTTTCACGCCTATCAGGAAAACAGTGGCTCTCCCACTGTGAGTCAACAATCTGCATGTCTAGCTTTGCTCAGCTTTATAATTCAAATAGAGTCTTCAGCTGCAGCAAGGGAGGAGCTGGTTTGTATTCAGTGAGTGAGAGGAGGGTCGGCACGAAGGTGCAGACTGGGAGAAAAAACGTTGGTTACGTACTGTAACCCCAGATTCTATGAGTATAAGCGTAGCCCTTTAAGGCCTTCGCTTTAGTGGGTTTATCCCGTTATGCAGAGCATAAGCACTGAAAAAATTAGTCCACGCCCACCTGCTGTGTGGGCCCCACCCGGTCCGTATAAATTACGTTAAGAGCGGGAAATCGGCTCCCAAAATAGCTTTTTTCTTCAGCCATTTAGGAGCCAGTGAGGCCCGACGCTTAAAGGGCTACGCTTATACTCATAGAATCTGGGGTTACAGTACGTAACCAACGTTCTATGTCGTATAAGCTTCGCCCTTTAAGGCCTTCGCTTTAGTGGGTAAAGGGCGAAGCCGATGTGGTCCTCGCCTCACTGGGTCCATTCGAACACAGTAAGAAGCGGAAGCTTGCCCAAAAAACGTCTTGTCACTCAGCTCCCCGTGTGCATAACTACGCATTGCGTAATTATGTGCCATGCACAGACGCATGTTGAGTAACTATGCGTTCTGACAAAGCATGAATGCCCCGGAAAAACTTTCAACGGGAAGAAGAAGTTGAAAAGGGGGGGGGGGGGCATGAACCAACTGGTTCATGGCTGAACAGTATAAACAGATTAATGTCCATGAATTGATTATTGATCAAATGAACTGATTGGTAACAATAGTCATGAACTGATTAGTGACAATAAAACCAAAATCACAGACACGACTTGTGACTGATAACAACATCTCACACTGTAATGCATGCAGACAGAAGTGAGCTTAAACAGAGTTCCATGAGAACAACAATATTCATTCTGTTAGAGCACTAAGGACAGAATGTGTCATGGAACGAGCCGTTACATCACGTAGGTAAAAGCGAATAAGTGAGCAGGGTGTTGACCATGCAGCCGCAGTGCAAATGTCCTGCATTGACATACCATTATGCAGAGCAGTCGAAGATGCGATACCCCTGGTCGAGTGTGCTTAGAGGTTGACAGGAGGCCCTAAATCTGATGCTCTGTAGGCTTCAGAAAAGGCCTCACACAGCCAGTGTGACAAGCGCTGGATGGATAACGGCGACCTGCAGAAGCATCTCTATAATGCACAAACAATTGTTGAGTTTGAAACGCATTGCAGCTGTGCGCGTTATGTAACACGTCAACGCCCGCACCGGGCAGAGAAGATGAAAAGATGCTTCCCCTTCTGATCTGTGGGGGGGAAAAGACCCCTCCAACGATATCACTCTTGATTTAAAAGAGCTCGTGATGTTTTAGGCATAAAAGCTGGGTTTGGTCTTAAATCAGCTGAACTACCGTCAGCCTGGATTCTGAGACATGACGGAGCGGCAGAGAGGGCCGATAAATCACTCACCCTCTTAGCGGATGTTAAAGCCAGCAGCAGGGCTGTTTTAAGAGACAAGAATTTAAGTGAAACCTGATCCAGAGGTTCAAATGGAGCTTTGATCAGGGCTCGCAGGACCAGTGTTAAATCCCACTGTGGAACGAGTGGGCGTGAAACCGGCCTATGTCTTTGTACACCTTTTAGAAACCGCTTCATCAGCGGGTGATTAAAAGCTGTTCTGTCTCCGAACCCTTCGTGGCAGGAAGAGATGGCTGCAGCGTACGTTTTAATCGTGCTGAATGCCAACTCCCTATCCATCAGCTGTTGAAGAAAGGACAGCACGCCACCTAATGGACATGAGGTGGCCTCCAGACCTTTCTCTATACACCAGCGCTGAAAGGCCGTCCACTTTGATGTGTACAGGGCTGTGGTAGATACAGCGCGTGAATCTTGAATTGTGCGCACTACCTCCTGAGGGAGACCCATCTTCTCTAAGCGGGACCGCTCAGCGGCCAGACCCACAGGTGCTGGCCTATTTCCGGGTAACTCCTGATCGCTCCTCCTGCTTGAAGGAGAGCATCTTCCCTCCATGGCAGTTTCCACGGACGACCCGACAACAGACGTTGCAGGACTGGGAACCATGGTGCGTTCACGCGCTCGGGAGCTACCAGGAGAGCTGTCAATCCCTCCTCCTGAACTCGGTTCAGGAACCGTAAAATCAGAGGGGGAGGGGGGAACGCGTACAGAAGCGTTTTGGGCCACGGGCTGTGGGCGAATGCATCCACCCCCAGCGGTGGATCGTCTCGTGGGCTCAGGGAAAACCATAATTGGCACTGAGCGTTCTCTCGCGTCGCAAACAGGTCCACAGCTGCTTTGCCAAACTTCTGCCACGTCTGAAACATCAGGTCTGGATGGAGGGTCCAGTCCGTGTGACGTGGGCCGCCCCTGGACATCACATCTGCTCCTCTGTTCAGAACGCCGGGTATGTAAACCGCTCTGATGGAAAGCAGATTTTGGTGAGCCCAACACAGTAGCTTCCGCGCAATGTGTAACATCTGGGCTGAACGCACACCCCCCTGGCGGTTTATGTACGCAGCAGTCACCATGTTGTCTGTGTGAATCAACACGTGTTGATTCTGTAGCACGGGAGCAAAATGCTGAATCACGTTCAGCACTGTGCGACACTCCAAAACATTGGTGTGGGCTGATGTGTGGTGGGGCCACAGCGCCCCTACTGCTTGAGATAGGCATGTCCCCCCCCAGCCTGACAGCGACGCGTCCGTGAAGACTGACACGTGTGACGAGGGTTTGCTGACGGGGACTCCCTCTGACAGAACCAGGGTGTTTCCCCAGTGTCGGAGGTCTGCTCTCACGGAGGGAGGGACAGTGATCATCCGTCTCTTTTGTTTTACTGGATCCACACGTAGACGCGCAAACCACCTCTGGAGGCGTCTCATGTGTAACAAACCCAGCGGAACCACTGTGTGAGCTGATGACATCATTCCCAACAGCTTCATGACGGAAACAGCTGTTACCACTTTGCCAGGTCTTACGTGGCGTAGTTGGTTTTTTAGAGTGTTGATTCTTGTTTGTGATAAGCGAGCCGTCATGGTAATTGAATTTAATTCCACTCCCAGATAAACAATTGTCTGGGCCGGGAAAATCGAGCTTTTCTTCCAATTTATGGCGAAGCCCAGATTTAACAGGTGTGATGCCAACACCTGAGCCTGTATCAGCGCTTCCTGTCTGGAGTGAGACAGGAGCAGCAAGTCGTCCAGGTAAAACAAAACTCTCATCCCTGCTCTGTGCAGTGGATGCAGGGCTGTCTCCACACACTTTGAGAACGTACGAGGCGCGAGGGAATACCCGAAAGGCAGCCTGTTGTACTGGTACTTCATCCCTTGAAAGGCAAAACGCAGAAATTTTCTGTGTTTTGGGATGATCGGTATGTGAAAATAAGCATCTTTTAGATCGATGGAAACAAACCAGTCGTTTTTCTGGATGTTGTCCAACAGCTGTCTGTTCGTCAACATGTGAAAAGGTCTGTTCATGATTGCTTTGTTGAAAGCTGACAGATCCAGAATCGGTCTCATCCCTCCGGTCCTTTTGGGGACCAGGAAGTAGCGTGAGTAAAACCCTGTGTTTTCCTCTTCGTTGGGAACTCTTGAGATTACACCTTTTATCAGAAGCTCTTGGACTTCTGCATTTAAGGCTGAGACTTGGTCTGGTGATGACAGGACCGTCTCTATAACTCCTCCGAACGGAGGGGGTCGGGTTGCAAACTGCAGCGTGTAACCCTTGCATAACACTCTGTCCATCCATCTGTCCGGCGAACAGGTTTTTTGCCACTCTGCGTAACGTTCGTGGAGTGGACGTGCGTTTAAATGATGTGCCGTGTTTTGAACGGATGTCATCCAAACCTCCGCCTCGACCGCCGTCATGCGTCGCGGAAATGTTTTCCGCGTGACCCAAGGCGAGGCTTCCTCGAAAGGGCTGATCTGCGCGCGCCCGTGCACTGTGTCTGGATCGCGGACCAACCTTCATGTCCGGGCGGGGCGGTGTGTGCTGAGGCGAGGCGTGTGTCAGCTGATGACGTCGTGAGGCTGCACGTTTAACGTCGCTGTGCGAACGTTGGGAGGTGGAGGGCGTGACGTCATCAACGCCGTGCTGTCGAAGTGAAGGTTGTGAGCCTCGCGGGAGCGCACGTTTTCTCTGGAGGGACGCGCGCCGCTCTCGCTGAGGGCGGGGCCCGTCATTGGATTCATTCAGCTGTCTCACGCTTATGCCGCCGTGAGCTGCTGATCGCTGAGACGCGATGGATGACGGCCGCTCGCGTTCGCTCAGGAGAGGCGTGTGTTGTTTTCGCTGAGAGCGGGGACCTCCACCGGACCCGGCCTGCGGTCCCACATTTATCCCTATGTGAGCCGGTGAGCGCCGGGCAGCTGTGCGTGCATCATCAACACAGCGCCGTTTGGATGGAGGCTGTTTGCCTCGCTCGGGTGCGCGTTTAACACCGCTTGGGTGGTGATCGTGCGGTTCTGATTGACAACAAATTATTTCGCTTACCGTGGTGTCACGTGAGCGTCTGGGCATGTGATGGAGCGACGGTGGATTTAAAAAACCTTTATTTAAGGACACCGGCTCTCTCTCTGTGGAGGATGTGTGTGTAGCGGCTGTGAGCTCATCCGAACTTACAGACTGGCTAAAAACAGGCATTTTGATTTTTGAAAAATCATTTATTTCAATTCCTGTGTCATTTATACACACATCCTCCGCAGACCGTCATTTCTTAAATCTTCTCACTCGAGAGCTCTGCGGTTTGTTTGCCCCGAGCGCCGTCTGCAGGCGATCTCTGGGGAAACGCTGAAGTGCAGGCTGCCGGACTGAGGAGGGGTGGTCTCTGGCGGGCGGGGCTGGTGGTGGAGCTGGGCGAGACGAAGCTGCTGCTGCCGTGGAGTGTCGATGTTTCTGCCTCTGCTCTCGACGGTCTCTCCAGCGGGCTGGGGGACGAGATGAGCCGCGCGGCTTGATGAGGTGGCGCACAGCTTCTGGCACCTCCTCCGACTGTTTCACTTCGCCAGCATGGTTTGAAGCTGCTCTGAACAGCGCGTCCGCGATGGCTTCATCAGGTCTTGTGCAGATTCTCCGGCAGCGAGGGGAGTAACGAAGCCAGGTGGGTCGATGGATCATCGTCATCCGCGCTGCAGTCCTCGACAGGCAAACCGTGGGAGAGGCACACATGTTGAGCTGGCGTCAGCTGCCTTACAGAGGGAGTTCTTCGTCTCCAAGGCAGGTCTGCGGCCTTCAGTCCCTTGGACATGCTATATGCTAGCAGCGCACGTTGTTGCTAACTGCGGCTGCCTGAAAACACGTCGGTGGGCTCGATTGGAGAGCGTGGTCGCCGTCTGGTTCCTCCGGAGGGACGGGACGCTGCTCCGACCTGGGCAGCTTCGCTCCGGAAGCTTCCGCGAGGCTTGGCTCCAGGGGGGGTTACCGAGGAATAGCCCCGCTCGGTGAATCCCTCAACTCTGGTGATGGGAGCGGACTGGGGACCGACTCCTCTAATCTACCAGGAAAGAACCGTCTGCGGCCTCGCCCGTCGAACGTCCTGTTGGAACGTGAGGCCGTATGGATCAAGACGGTGAGCCACAGTGGAGCCCAGTGAAAAACAACCTTTCCGCCGATCATCCGAACTGGCGGGAAAAGGCGAGGGACGTAGAAAAAAGGGGTCCCTTCATGTCAGCCTCCTCCTGGGTTCCGCCGGGCAACCCCTGAGGGCGCTGTCGGCCGGGAGCGGTGTGATCGCCGATGCGAAACGAGGTGGGATGGGGTGAGCATTCACTCAGCCCCCCTCCACCTACACTACGCTCCCCAGGAGGGAATGAGCAGCGGGGGCTGCAGCTGAGCACGCCTTGCCCCGGAGGAACCATCCGGTTCGGCCCGAGGGTCGGCGATAAGAGGAAAAACACAAGATGGCGTTGTCCAGCGTGTAGTGACCTGTCACTGGGAAATGTTCCCCGACGCTTACCTTGGAATAAGACTGCTGTCATCTTCTCCTCGGGGAGGAGAACTCACCGGACGACCGGAGGTCGACTGCCGGGCCAAGCATCCTTCACAAGGTTGGTCATTTACACAATTTATCTTCTTTGTTCTTCTGACAGTGCTATATTAGCTCGCTGAAGAAAAAATGGGAGCCGATTTCCCGCTCTTAACGTAATTTATACGGACCGGGTGGGGCCCACACAGCAGGTGGGCGTGGACTAATTTTTTCAGTGCTTATGCTCTGCATAACGGGATAAACCCACTAAAGCGAAGGCCTTAAAGGGTGAAGCTTATACGACATAGAACTGACAGATTTTCAAGTATAATTATAAATCTAAGATTATATCCTGGTGAAGATTCTCAGTCATCCAGGACATGATGAATTCAAAAAGCGTTCAATACAAATACAACTGGACTTTATTTGTAACAGAAGACGTTTCGCTCCTCATCCGAGGAGCTTTCTCAATTCAAAGAGCAGAGAGTGACAGATACAGGTTATAAGGCTGGGTGAGATAAGACACACACACACACATAAGACACACACACACACATATATGTAGATTGGCAGTTCACACCTAAAAACCTAAAACAGTAGTTTTACAGGATGCGAACAGTAGAACAAAGACCTACTGTTTTAGGTTTTTAGGTGTGAACTGCCAATCTACATATATGTGTGTGTGTGTGTCTTATCTCACTCAGCCTTATAACCTGAATCTCTCACTCTCTGCTCTTTGAATTGAGAAAGCTCCTCGGATGAGGAGCGAAACGTCTTCTGTTACAAATAAAGTCCAGTTGTTTTTGTATTGAACGCTTTTTGAATCTAAGATTATATCATTTCATATCGATAGAACTCATTTTATATCGCGTTTGAAATCATCTCGATATTTTTAAAATATCGGCATATCGCCCAGCCTGTACATAGAAAAATAAAACATAAGTTAGCACAAAGCTCAAGTCAAATATTCTGTTCACGTGCAGAACATGGAACAAGAACATAAGACAAGTCAAGAGTAGGCTTTCAAAAAGTTCTGCTTCCTACCTGCTGTCCTCAGGACCTTGGCCTTTTCAATCTGAACCTCTGGCCCCCATTTCTCTCCCAGGGTGCCCTCCAGGCTGAGCTGTCTGAAGGTCAGACAAAGGTCGTCCTTCTGCTTTTCCTGCGTCCCATCGCAGCACTGGCTGAGGAGGCGACAGGCTAAAACTATGTTGCCTTTTTTCCGGGAGAACTTGGCAGCAGTCAGACAAAGCTCCAGCAGATGGCCGTTTATGGACGAAGAATAACCTGGACAAGAACAAAAGTGGAAATCACCATGAGCTGTAACAATCTGAATACAACTCAGCTATTCCTTGCATTTATTTCACACTACAGGTTTTTAGAAGATGAATTTTCATTTTGAAATTAAAAAAAGTGATTTTTACAGAGTCCATGCTACAACAATGTAATTGAACCCTGAAAGAACTAATGGGATATTGTGTCCATGTTCGTTTTTTGGTGATGTCATCCATCCTGTCGAAGCTTAAGAACACTTTTAAAATGTATTTGTCAATTATTTTAAGTCCTTCAGTAACCTCACTGTAGGGGATCAGGTAGTCGGAACCAACAATGCATCTTTTAACAGATGTTCACCCTAACCGTTCAAAAGTTATGTAATAAATGTGAACCGACCTTGATTAAAAATTATAGTGAATTCTTGGCAATGTTGCGATTCCCCTCACTCAAACAAAAACACAAAACCCAGTCAGTTAAAGTCACAATTCTGTAACATTTACTTTCACGTTTGTGAACAATAAACAGTGTGGAATTATGGCAAGTATGAAATATGAGTGCACAGACCAATAGTGTTATTTTAAAAAGTGAATGAGGTAACTAGTTTTAACTTTGAGAAGACTTGTTCAAATTTAGGACGAACCTTAAAATTTAGGTAACTTTATCTTAGATTCGTATAGTTAACTAAAGGGGTCTAAAACTTAGTTGGCACTGAGGGTTGTTCCCTGTCATCAGGAGAAAGATGTTTATCCAACCGGATACATCCTATCCTCATTACCACAAGGTAGGGCTGGACAATATGGCCAAAACTTTTATCACAATATATTTCGTTATTTCGGTTGATAACAATATAATTCAATATCGATACAAACTATATAAAAACCTCAGGAAAAACTGTACAAACTGTACAAATAAATGAATGTTCACCTTTTATTTGTATTTAGCCTTCAAAAAAAATTGAAATCACCGTCAAATAAACATAAAATTCTCAACTTTGTCAATATTAATAGTTTTAACTTTAAACAACATAACATAACCCATGCAGCAAACATCTTTGTTTGCGGCATGGGTTTCTCTTTTGATACAGCTGGGGGTGTTGTTTCAGGTACACGTTGGCTCAAACTTTTATTGTGCTTCATCTTGTGACTCTCAGCAGATTCTATCGAGTGGAAACTCTTCAGATGGTGAACAAGTCTGATGTGTTCCCACCACTAGTTGGAATGACTCTCCGTCACATTTTGCAGCACACTGAAACCTGCAATTTATTGGAGCTTAGACAGCCAAACCACTTCCACACTGCCGTATTAGTCTTTTCTCTCTTATCAGTGATGTCATCTGCTTTCTCTTCGCTTGTAAAAGCTTGTTCAGTCACACACTGACAGTCATGGGAACTCATTTTGAAGCAAAAACTTAGCACGCGTTGGAGATTAGCCTAGCCTGCTACCGTTAACTCCTTCTGGACACGAGCTCCGCGTAACATCTACGTCAGCACGTACTTATGCAATTGTGTCGCACCTTTTTCTGTCCAGATTGAAACTGAAGCGGCCACTTCAATCTGAACAGAAAAAGAAATGCGTCAGTGAAACGCTGTAATCATAACAAAATATTGAAAATGTGCTTAAAACGCATATCATTGTTACTGAATAAATGTATATCACAACATATGTCAATAGAATTATTGTACAGCTCTACCACAAGGGATATGACGCCAAGGCCGGAGGTTCACGCTGTCACAGGAATGGATGTCTTTTCTTCAGGACCACATCTCGTCCAGCAA